AGAGAGCCGGTGCGGGGGGGCGCGGGGAGGTAGAAACTCGTCACTGCCGTTATTCCGGGACCCTGAGGTGCCGCAACGTGCAAGAAAGCCACACGTCTATGAACAGATATGCGCCCGTGTATGTGCTGTCTGTGTGCATGCATATGTATATACATACACTGCGTTTGAATATTTGTGTATGTACATCTGTGAACGCACTTTCTGTTAGAGCTCCTGAGGAGCTGTTTGGTTTTTCACAGCTTGGTCCTCATCTGGGAATGGAAGTTAGCGTAAAATGAGGTCATACCTTTGCAGTGATAATACACCTGTGAAGATTAAAATGCACCCTCGTTGTCACCGTAGTTCCTCATCCATGGGTTATTTAGCTACTTCTCCAAACAGGAGGCACTGTCTGGTTCTTTGGGGTTGCAGGCATAAAGTCTGCTAGAAAGGCTGTACAAAGAAAATGTTAGATTAAATGTGGAGTTCTTCTTGCTGTGTGATGTTTATTTAATGAAGAGGATTGCGGCTGTTGTGCAAATGGATAATACTAGTATGTTGCTCTTAAGAGGTCTTCTCATCAGATGTAAGAAGAAAAAAAAAAGGTGGTTTTCACTCATTCACTCATTCATTTCCTTTTAGATATCAAATGTTTCTGTTATGTGTAACGCTAAGGTCTATGAAATCAGTCCTTGTCACATGAGATGATAAAAAAGAAAAGTCCAAAATGCAAAATGAGACAACTCCCAATGATAGATCTTAATCTGGCGCCCTTTTGAGATTATCACTAATAAAGCCAAAGGCCTACTGAGTCCTCTCTGAGATAGAGTCCTGCAAACTTGGACTGATGCACATGTGTAAGACTGGACTAAGAAGTCTCATGTGAATGTATTTTTTTCTTTCCTAAGGTTACATGACCTGGTGCGTTTCTGCTTGATAAACATGACATTTTTCTCAGTGTGTGCACCTTGGGTCAACACAAAGAGACAGAATGCCTTCCTTTGGTTTTCCCTTTCTTGTTTCATCAGAAGATGTGCTTTGATAAGGTGACTTTCAATTGTTAGATGCCTTGGGATAGAAGGTCTAATGTCTCATGCCTTGTGCAAGCTGTAATTCATGCATAATCTCAGTTTTCTTTACAATTGGTAGGTTATTCTTGTTTCACCTGTATTTCAACATACTAAGAAAAAGTACTAGGCCCGTTCCTGGAATGGAATAGATGTTAATATTTCTTTAAGATTTTATGGTCTGGAGCTTTGATAGCAGTCATTATGAGAGATCACCTCTCACAGGGGCAGTTCTTACCTAATGTCAACAACAGCGTATACGAGGGTAATTGAATTTGTTGTGTTTCAGACATGATTGTTCTGGAAGCAGTATGTTACCTCAATTTTATTATGGCTATCATCTATTCAAAATTTTTGTCATTACAGCAGACATGATGTAAATGAAAATCCAAGTAAATGACAGACAAATATTTTTGCCGCTATTTTACATGCCACACTAACACCTGGAACTAGCGAGAGCAGGCGTCTTCAGTGTGTTTTTCCTGTACTCTACTGAAGCTCGTTGGTTACGGTTCTGGTGAATAGCATTTTGTGTTGGAAAACTGTTTTTAAAAAAATGGTGTAAGACAGAATGACTATGTCTCTTGACAAGCAAAACCTTGTGGAAGCCATTGCAAAACAGGAATAGATGAAGTTTATTGCTGGCTGCTTATGGTTTGGATGGGCATACGCTTTGCTGGGTAAAAAACTGGCTGGAAGGCTGAGCCCGGAGAGTGGTGGTGAATTGAGTTAATTCCAGTTGGCGGCAGGTCATGAGTGGTGTCCCCCAGGGCTCAGTACTGGGGCCAGTCCTGTTTAATATCTTTATCAATGATCTGGATGAGGGGATCAAGTGCACCCTCAGTGAATTTGCAGATGACACCAAGCTGGGTGGAAGTGTTGCTCTGCCTGAGGGTAGGGAGGCCCTGCAGAGGGATTTAGACAGACTAGATTGATGGGCCAAGGCAAACTGTATGAGTTTCAGCAAGCCTAAATGACGGGTCTTACACATTGGCCACAACAGCCCCCGCCAACGCTACGGTCTTGGGCAGGAGTGGCTGGAAAGCTGCTCAGCAGAGAGGGACCTGGGGGTGTTGATTGATAGCTGGCTGAACATGAGCCAGCAGTGTGCTCAGGTGGCCAAGAAGGTCAACGGCATTCTGGCCTGTATCAGGAACAGTGTAGCCAGTAGGACCAGGGAGGTGATTTTGCTCCTGTCCTCGGCACTGGTGAGGCCACATCTTGAGTTCTGTGTTCAGTTTTGGGCCCCTCACCACAAGAAGGACATTGAGGCGCTAGAGCATGTGCAAAGAAGGGCAACAAAACTGGTGAGGGGTCTGGAGCACGTCTTATGAGGAGCGGGTGAGGGAACTGGGGTTGTTTAGCCTGGAGAAAAGGAGGCCTCACAGTAATGTGGTTTTGTGCCTGTGACCTTTATTAATAGGTCTTAATTAGAATGAAGCAACGCTTTTTCTTAGGGAAAACAGGACTTTGCACAGCTCTCTCAAAAAAAGGCTATTGCTAAAATATTGTCTGAAAACACTGGTATAATTTGAAGAAGCATGTTGGCACATTCAAAAGAAACAAAAAAAGCAGCAGCAGCAAATATTGATAAAGTAAGTGGGATGCAGCTGGGGGCAGCTTGTTTAGATAGGTAGAATGTCCAGTATGAATGCCCAAACAAAATCAGTGGTAAAGTTCCCGTTTACTTCAAAGGGGTCAGAATTTCACACCAAGGCATGAGAAGAGAATAAGACGTAATTCATTGTAGGAAAATAGGCAAGACTTGAATACAGGCAAATGCAT